ATGCTCTGATAATACAAAATCAAAACTTAACTGAATTGGAAAGGTTTTTTTATTTAAAGACATTTGTAGTTGGTGAAGCTCTTAAAGATATAAATACGATTCAAATAACAAATGATAATTTTAAAATAGCGTTAAGCATATTACACAGAAGATATAATAATAATAATAATAATAATAATAATAAAAAACAGATTTTAAACAATTATTTTCACCAACTAGTAAATGCCCCTGTAATGACAAAATGTAATTCTGTAAACCTACGCACATATGTCACCACGACTAGGACAATTATTGATTCCTTAAAAAAATCTAAATCTGTCTGATGCTCAAATAACAGATTCTTTAATCGTGTATATCTTGGAACAAAAACTAAATTGTTTACTAGGCAAGCATTCGAACATCATGTCAGCAAACATGAGCTCACTAGCTCTCGACAACTCTTTGAATTTTTAGAAGATAAATGTATAGCTCTAGAAAATGCTGCCAGTGTAGATTCACATCAAAAAGTTAACATACCAACTCAAAATATTAATGTTCTAAATCAAAACAATTCATTTAAAAATAAACCTCAAAAAACCTTTATACAAACAAATAATACACATACGGGGACTAACAGGTATCTTACTGCAGTCAAAAAGTGTACACATTATAATAGCCCAGAACATACAATATACTCGTGGAATGAGTTTTTATTATTAACACCTCAAGACAGGTATAATTTTATACGGAGTAAAAACCATTGTACTAACTGTTTAAATAAAAATCACACAATCAATTGCTCAAGCTGTCAAAGGAGACATCACACACTTTTACACTATAATTTTAACGCAAATACACAATCAAATCATACACCACAAAATAGGTATCATGCCAATAGTCAAGGAAACAATACGCCACAAAACAGGTATCATGCCAATAGTCCAGCAAACAATACACAACAAAACAGGTATCATGCCAACAGTCAATCAAATTCAAACAATCAAACAAGGCTCAATGCCAATCATACATACACTAATCAACAAATACATTAAGCACCAAGTTCTTCAACGCATCATGTGCAAACTGCAACATCACTATCAACATTCACATCAAGAAACTCATGTTTTATTAGCAACAGCACAAGCGCGAGTTTGTCCAAAAAATGGCACTCCGTTTAATGTAAAAATGTTATTAGACAATGGAAGTCAAATTTCATTCATCACCGCTTCCCTAGCTAACAAACTAGCGTTCAAACCATATACAAATAATATTCAAATTTCAGGCATTTTAAACGACTGCAGTGAGGTCAGTCAGTCAGTAGATACTCAATTTTCTCCAAAAAAATAACCAAGCAAAGAGTTTCAAATTATCGTGCGCAATAGTACCTACAATCACACATTTACCACAAGTATACATAAATGTACCTAAATTAAACATACCTAATTATTATCTAACAAATCTTGCAGATTATACTTTTAACACACCCTCCGAAAATGACATATTAGCTGGAGCGGATGTGTATTATTCCTTTATCCGGACAGGTAGGTAAAAATTTACCTACCCTTATTAACACTTTTTTTTGGATGAATGCTGTCGAGTTCAATACCTCAACATTGCTTAAATTTCGAATATCCTCCCAGTGGCCCTATCCACTCATTTTTTTTCAACCAGCTGTAGCTGCAAAACCGCCAGATGAGGAAAATATTGAAAAATTAATTGAAAAATTTTGGGTACAAGAAGTTTCCAATATCTCTGTGTACTTAACTCCGGAAGGGGAAAAAGTTGAAAAAATATTTACAGACACAATAGTAGTATTAGCGAATTGTCAATATCAAGATGACCTACCATTAATTGATTCACAAGCACATGCATCTTTAGGTACAACCTTTTTTGCAGCAAAAAACAGATTCCTAACTTTAAAAAATAAACTAACTAAAAACCCCGCGTTATTAACAGAATATAAAAAACAATTATACGAATATATAGAACTAGGTCAAGCCAAAATAGTTCCGTTAGAACTAACAAATAACTTTCAAGAAAATAAATATTTTGTACCTCATCTTTGTGTACTTAAAGAAGATAGTGCCACTACAAAGGTGCGAGTGGTATTTGATTTTTCATGCAAAACCACGTCGTCACTATCACTTAATGACATAACTTTAAAAAGTCCTCAGGTACAACCTGAGTTATTTGATATACTCTGTAGTAGGGATGTCAATAACTGGAGATTAAAACAGAAAAACCAGTGTTTTCTCTTCGGTTAATCGGTTAAAATCGGTTATTTTTTGTCTCCAGTTATAAACGAATAACCGATTTTTACACCAATAACCGGTGAAAAAAAAACCGTGCTGCAACAATCTACTCCATAGTATCCAGATCTCAGTAGATAGTGCCCATCCCTAGTACTATTTACTGAGCACACAGTAAACGTAGTCAGGAGTAAATGGCTGTATAGTCCAGGCCACTAAGGCCGTTAAACAAAAAAAGGAAGTCAGATATTTTCTTCTTTTCGACTAACCTAATAAAATAAATTTTCGTTGCTCTTTGTTTGTTGTTTGTTTTTTCTTTGCTTTGGTCATTTATTTTGGTCAGAAGTAAGAATACAGAGAATAGTCTTCATAGTGAGAATACTGAGAATTTTGTTAATTTTATATTGTGTAGCGAGATAGTGACTTTAGTAGGTACTCTATACGTATATCGTCGTTGAAGAAGTGAACCCTCGTATCTACACTTTTTACCAAAATTGACTTATTACATGAAAATTTACAGAAAAATTCGCTTTATTTTTCAGGTGAGATCTCGTAAGTAAAAAATAATTCTGCCATCTTGAATAACAAAAAACGTGATTACTTGTATCTTACTAAACGTGAAATTTCTGGTGATTTCCTGTAAATACTTAGTAGTGAAAAATCGTATCTGATTCTATTCTTTATTCAGCAGTAAGTCACTTGTGTTTACTTGTATCTGCGTATGAATCACATCCTACGCCAAATAATTCTTCTAGGTGGGGTTTGTTGTTAACGCGTATCTATTCTGTTTTAGTTTAACGTTAAATTTGATAGCAGACGGTTATACAATTTGTTACCACGTGTTCATTAAATGAGTTAAACCTAATAATTGTTCTTAAGTATAATGTAAGTTTCTAATTATTTATTTTTAATTCAGTATCCTATTTTATTCTAATACATTATTTTTATATTTATATATTAATTAATATGAAAACTTAAACTTTTGTTTTGTGAAAATGAGATACGTGGTCTCACATGTAAAATTTCCAAAACAATTTGGTGTTATAAAAAATCATAGCTATCTATTACGTTAGTTACGTGGTTTGATATTAAAAATCATGTTAGTCGTTTGTAGTTCGGAAATCCTAAATTAAATTTACCATTTTGATATAAAGGGATTAAGTATTTATTTTATGCAAAGGGTGCTTTTGAAATAGCTGGCAAAATATTGACATCTCAGAAACCATAATAAATACGGTTTTGTTGAAATGAGAAAAAGCTAATGAGTTCCAATTAATAAGACGGTTTGGAATTTTAACATTTTCAGCAATACTTTTTCTTTTATACAGGTCACAAAAATGCACTATGTCTCGTTCTGGAAGGATAATGGCAATGGTAAAGGAAGTAACTATGGATGAAAACCACTGCAGCTCAAATCCTGTTTTAACAGAGGAACTTTTAGAAAAATGCCAGTGGGATATTATATCAAATAATAAAGCAGAAAACTTCACAATGTTAGACGATCATGAGGTTGAAAGTTTTCTAGCCTGTAATTCCAGTCAGATGGACGTCGAATCTCATGTACAGCTATTCCCACTACACAATTCAAGACAGACGGAGATCATTCATACTGAACAAGAATGCCAAGAGTATTCAACAAGTATTGAATCTACTATCAACTACAACTGCCCACCAGTAGTTTTACAAACTCTAACAAATTATGTTGAATTTGACAAAGATCAAGACAACTTTAATGGTGATGACGAACTCGATAAAACAGATGACCCAGACTATGATGTCACTGAAGATGAACCAGATAGTAGTGATAAATTAGAGACCACAATAAATACTGTCGTTATATCCCAAAAAGCTGAAGTTGAGACACAAGTACGCAAAGAGCAAGCCCAAGTTGAAGAGGACCAAGAAGCTGATAAAGAAAATTCTATAAAACTCGGTAAAGTAGTGAATAAAAGAAAACGAGTTTTAGGACCTGACGACTGGTTTGACGATAAGAATAAAAAACTACGTGAACAGGGGAAGAGCTACATTGGATGGAAGTGTGACGGAAACAAGAGAAAAAGAGGAGGTGATAGCAAACAACTCTACTTTCTGTAAAAAATTAAAAGTAAGGGATTGTGCAAAGCTTTTGAACAAAGAGAGAGAAGATATCTTTAAGTCATTCTGGAGTGAAATGAATTGGGACCAAAAAAAAGTATACATTGTCTCACTGGTAAAAAAATATATAACAAAACGTTGCACACTATCGGCCACACAGAAATCACGTAGATCTGCTACCTTAACCTACACCATAAAAACATCTAAGGAAAAAGAAGCATTGACGGTATGTAGAAAAATGTTTCTCTCTACATTTGGATTAAGGAGTGGACAGTTTTAAACTGGGTCAATAATACTGAAAGTTATGGCTCAACAGGCAGTTTACAAAAACTGTGGCACCCATGTATAAATTACCTTCAAGGAACACGGTAGGTAATTTTGACTTTTCTTTATTTTACGTCTTAAGTCAAGAGCTTTTCTGATCATTTACTTTTATTTTTCAGGTGACTGAGATGGTTAGCATGAAATTTTCGGCAATCATTTCTAGGATGAAAATTAAACTACTTAATATGAAACATATGAGTTTAACTGCAGACAAATGCACATTAACCAATACAAGCAGTGGTTTCTTGGTTGTCACCGCACATTTTATATGTAAGTAAATGGTATTTACTACATTGTAAAATAAATAAATTGTTTAATGCTTTAGGTCCAGAAAAAAATTAAGGTGAGACAATTATGTTAGGAGTGCGTCGACTTTTGGAAGCTCACACCGGAGACTACATTTCACAAAAAATGAAAGAATTAATGGAATCTTTCGGTATTTCAAAATCCAAAATAATCTCTGTTTGTACAGATGGTGGTGCAACTATGATAGCTGCAGTACAAAAATTATTAGGGGAAGGAAAAAACGTCTATTGTTTTGCTCATATGTTAAATTTAATAGTAACGGATGGTTTAGAAGACAAAAATAATAAGCCCTTGAAAAAGCTTATAGATCTTGTTAAAAGTTTCATGACTTATGCTAGGCACAGCAGTAATTTCATGGATGCCTTGAGGGCTGAACAACAGAGGGATGGTGTACCAGAAGGTGGCGTTGCGCTGTTTATTCAGTCAGTTCCAACACAGTGGAATTCCACCTTTTATATGCGTAGTAGATTCGTCACCCCTATACCCCTACGTAGCACGTGTTCTGGCAAGTCCAAGTACAAAACTAAAAAATGCTTCTAGAATGCTGTCAGGTAATGAAGTAGAATTACTTTTAGAAATTGTTTGTGTTTTAATTCCATTTAAACAGGCCACAACTGAAATATTCAAGAGTGACTATTTAACTGGAAGTTTGTATTACCTATGATATCCTGCATTGACTCAGCGTTGGCTGCTATCAAACCAGCTAACGAGACTTACACAATATTATCAAAAAAAAATTAAAAGAAACATTAGAAGCACGTTGTGCATCTCTTCAAATAAATCCCCTTTTATGCAACGCTTTGTTATGTGACCCTAGATTTAAGAAGCTATACATGAAGCCTGTTGTAGCAAGCCAGGCTGTCATGCAAATCAGTGAAGAAATAAAAAAAAGTGCAGGAAGAAATGGGAAAATACTCTCCACCTAGCTCGGCTAGTACTGTGCAACAAGACGACGGCGATGGGTCATTATGGTCGATTCACGACAAGTCCCTCGAAAAAAGTAGAATGTTATCTTCGGAGGCTGAGAGTACTTTTCCAAGTGAACTTAAATTGTATTTACAGCAGTCTACGATGTCCAGGGTCCAAGACCCAGTTCAATTTTGGCATCAAAGCAAAACACTAATGGCTGCTTTATCGTCCGTTGCTCTTAAATATTTAGCGGTAGTGGGCAGCTCAGTCACATCGGAAAAATTGGTTTCTGCGTTAAATGCCATTGTTACGGACGATAGAAGCCGCCTTACTGACGCACATATCACAGAAAGAGTTTTTATGAACAGAGTTTAAAAATCGTACTGGGTAGATTAATACAAATGATGTATGTTTTGAACGCTTTAAGATAATGTATATCTGATTATTTATCAGTTTTTAAAAATTATATTTAACCTGTAAAAGTTTCAGATATGTTTTGCAATAAAGATATGTACTTATCGTGTTGTAGTTTAACTTATGCGACATTTTAATATAAAGTAAGCAATTAGGCAATCCAACTTCCTGCCAGACTGAACAAAAATGGCGGATGTTTGGCGAAAACAACAAAGTTTGTTAACCCTACTTTTTCATTAATATTTTACTGTTAATGTAAATCATACAATTAATATTCTTAATAAACATTCATTTATGCCATTTTTTAACTAAATATGTGGTGTTAGGCAACTCATATTACATATATGTTAGTTAGTTACACTTTTTTACAAAATTTGTTATGGAGAGATTCACCTTCAGGTTCCTTAGAATGCATTGAGATAACTAGCGTGGTATTTGGCCAAAAAAGTTCACCATATTTAGCATGTAGAGCACTAAAGGATGTAGCGCTGAAAAATTATCAATTTACTTTGGCAGAGACTATCTGCTCAATCAAATATGTTGACGACATTTTAGCATGTGCTAATACAATTCACGACTTGCATTTGTTAGACAAAGAATTACACACTGTTTTAAATAAATCTCATTTCAATTTTCATAAAATACGTTCCAACTCAGTAGATTAACAATAAAAATCAACAAAATAGTTCAAATCTTAATTTAGACTTTAATGAATCTCTATATAAAATCATAGGACTACAAAGAAACCCTAGTTTAGATACTTTTCAAATTTCGATACCAACAACTATTCAAGTAGAAAAAGTCACGAAACGAATAATTATTGCAATCATATCTCAATGTTACGACACTCTAGGTCTAGTAAACCCCACAATAGTAGCAGGATAAATTGCTTATGCAAAAATTGTGATCTTAAAAATAAAGTGGGATCAAAAAATCACAGATGCCTCCATATTACAGGACTGGCAAACATTTTTAGTGAGCATAAATTATTAGAAATCTTTACAAATACCACGTTGGATATATGTGGATTTAAACCCCATAAGGGACCATTTATTCAAATCAAAGAGTCTTTTGTAATTAAGTAACAGCTAGATCAAGGGTAGCACCCATAAATAAAATAGTAACTATTCCAAAATTAGAACTCAGTGCCATGGTTTTATTAGTAAATTTAACGGTTAAATTCTTAAAATTGTTAAAAATAAAATAAAAATTGATTCGGTAAATTTGTGGTCAGATTCACAAATTGCTTTGTGGATGAAAAGGACATCCATCTAGATCAGTTGTAATCAACCTTTTTTTCTTTCGGGTCACATAAATCTGTTTGTTATGCTACACGGGCCACAATATTTTTGAGTGATAACTAGAATTGCCACCTTTTCTAAATTTAAATAAAGGACAATGGGTGACGATAGCGATCCGCTTTAAATAAAGGTCCTCATATTGTTTTAGTTTAAATACTATTACGCAGCATCTACAGTAGCCTGCAGCTGTTATAGGAAACGTGCGAATAAAAGAAGAAATATGTCACAGCGTGCTGCGGTCGTCATAAGTAAAAGTACGAGTAAAAGAAGATAGAATAATCCAGAATGTGGGGTACGCAGTTTATTCCCCTAATCACTTGTCTATCTGTGACTAACTCCCTAATTTCTTTTCAATTTTCTCTGCCGAAATATATGCAATTTATATGGCCTTGGAAAAAATTGCATAGCTACACCTCAGCAATGTCATAATCTTTTCTGATTAACAAAGCGCCATAATGGCTATCACACAAAGATCATTTTCTTCAACATCAGACTCGACCATCCTAAAAATCTGAGAAATGTACTATCAATTATCCAATCAAAATAAAGGCATACAATTTGCATGGATTCTAAGCCACCAAGGCATCACTGGCAACGAGAGAGCAGATGCCTTTGCCAATTTGGGGCAATTTGGGGAGAACTGTGACAAGAGCCACATTTCCTCCTGGACACTACAAGGATGTAATAAATTCAATCAAAGTACAGAGTTTCAAAGAATGGTATGACTCATTCGAAAAAATTGGAAAGTGCAAAGGAGTTATATATGCCTAATTCACAAAAAAAGCCTAAATAGTCTCCTTGGTTCAAAGAATACACCGACACATCTAGAAAAAAAATTTGCATTATATCTCGAATGAGAGCAAACCACTGCTTAACAAGGTCCTAACTAAATAGACTGAAGATGATTCCCAGTGACTTGTGCGATTGTGGACAAAGTCAGGACTTACAGCATATTTTTTTCTCATGTTCAACGAATGAACACAACATAGAAGTTCTACATAAATCCTTGAAGATTCCAAAAAATATATACGACCCCTGGACACTTCCTAATCGGCATCGCTTTAACTTTATTTCCAGAAAAAGATTTATCTCAAATAAATGTAAATACTTTCCTTTTGGCAAAAATGCACCCAAATACAGCAACTTTTTTGGAAAAATGGTCAGATTACCTAAACAGATTGCAAAACAGACCTAAATGGTTGGTACCATTGAAAAACATTGAAGTAAACGATTTAGTATTAGTAAAAGAAACAGATACTCCCCCTTTAATTTAGCCGTTAGCCAGAGTTTTAGAGACTTTCCCAGGAAAGAATGGAAAAGTACGATCAATTAAAATGTTAACGTCTGGTGGTACATACGTCAGACCCATTACCAAAATAGTTCCACTCCCCCCCTTCAGATGCTTTGAATGAAGATGATTAAAGAAAGCCGGAGTTTCTGCTCAGAGTTAGAGGATGCTCGTTGTATATATTATAATTATTTTTATTTTGTTTTTAAGAAACGCAAACAACACTTAGAAAATGGGTATATTTTATGATCTAAACACAATTTTATTGCATATCATATTCCATTTATTTGTTAATTTTAAATCTAGAACCGCTCTTGATTTTGTTTATGTTTATGTAAATAATGAGTATTGGTGAATTAAAAAAAAATTAAACGTTCACATTTAAAGTTTTAATAATTAATTTTAAGTTTCAAACATATGTATTTTTATGCATATTCACGTATGTATGTGTGTGTGTGTATATGTTACGGTCAAAGATGATATTTCTGTCTTTAACGATATTGGCCGGTCATTTTCGTAAATGTCCTATTTGATTGGGCATTCTGCTCACGTTAGTGGCCGGCCAATATCGTCAGCGGCCAATTTACAACACTGCCCGTAACATATAATATATACAAGGTGGACCGGATTTATTTTGCGTATACAGAGATCTCGTAAACCGTAAGATATACATTGTCGGTTAAATGTAGAAAAAGTTTCGCATTTTGACGGATAATACAATGGTCCATAGAAGTTCCAGATTTACTAACTGGTTCCGGAGATATTCGATAAAATCCGAAAAACCTCATTTTCGTAAGTCGTGCGTTGTTATTATAAAAGATACAAAAAAAATTATGCGAAGTTTTTGTTATAAATCAAGGTCCCTATAATCTGCCATGTCAAAATTTTTATTACGACGTTTCGTATTTCCAGGGCCACCTTCAACTTATTTTTTTAAAAATGGATTTTTAATTGTAATTTTTTATAGCTTCTGTATAGCTAAATACAACGATATGTTACACTTTACCATTTTACTACGTTTCGTCTATGAAAATATCATCAGCTATGTAGCTTCTGATGATACCGTTTCTTACTTGATTAAAACAAGATAGCTAATTAAATAATAATTAAAAAAACAAAAAATGCTTAAAATGTGAAATTTTAAATATTATTTGAAACATAATACAAGAATTATTTAATTACAAAATGGGTTACAATTTTTTATCAAACATGATTAAGTACAACCAGCAAACAAGACTAATGAACGAATTAGGGTTGTACACATTCTACAAATAATAAAGCTAATAACAAAAACAAAATTCAAAAACAAAAACAGTCAGAATAGTTGGATACAGAGTGCAATTCTCCTAGACATTTTGGATGTAGTTTTATCAACCATTTCTGGTGTAATTTTTTCAAATGCATCTACTATTCCTTGACGAAGTTCTTGTAGATTATTTGGCATATTTTTGTCGTAGATTTGGTTCTTTAGGAAGCCCCATAATAATCCATGGAGTTAAGACACGGAGTTCGAGAAGGCCATCTTATTGGTCCATTGGTACCAATCCAATTACCTCTAAAATATTGATCTAGATACTCTGCAACCCTCCTAGCATTGTGTGCACCACAACCGTCTTGCATAAAGTATTGAAGATTTTGTCTTGTTTGTAAGGGCATCTCATCGAGTACTTCCTCCAATAAATGTAGGTATCGGAACTGATTTGAATTACCATCCAAAAAAATCGGCCCAATAATCTGATTATTGATTAGTCCACACCACACATTTTGGGTAAAACGGAACTGTGGTCTAACTTCTCTGATTAAGTGGGGATTAGAAGTAGCATACAAATGCTTGTTCCTGAAATTAAATATTCCACTATTAGTAAAGGAGCATTCATCCGTCCATATCTTTTTATTGAAAGAACGGTCATTGCGCAGTTTTCTACTATACCCAAGACAAAACATCAGTCTTCTATCAGAGTCTCCAGTGTGTAATTTCTGGACTTTTTGAAATGTATACCCGTGGTATTTGTTTCTTTAAAATTCTTTCAACCGTGGAGGTTTCTACTACACATTTTTTAGCTATTCGCCTAGTATAATTTTCAGGGTAAATATGTATTTGGGCAAGAACATTAATTTCATTATCAGTATGTCGGACCTGATATCTAGTTTTCCTTTTTTTCACACTGCTATGCTCTGCCATATTTTTTTAAATATAAGAAAACATCCTCTTAGATGGCTGTTGTCTATCACGATATAAATCTAAATAAGTTTGAGCTGACCGGGTTTCATTCCTATAGCATCTTATGTACACATCACACATATCTTTCTTCTCTTCTTCAGTATAACGAACCATATTTATTTAATTTTAAATTATTTAATGCTAACAAAGT